TCACTCCCTCCCTCACCAACGGGACTGGGGAGGGAATCGGGAGAGTAAAAGGGAGAAAACCTGGGATGGAGATAAATGCTGGTTAATGGGCAAAGCAAAAGCCACGTGCAACCAGAGTAAAMCAAGGAATTAATTCCCACTTCACATGGGCTGGCAGGTGTTCAGCCATCTCCAGGAAAGCAGGGCTCCATCCCATGTAACTGCCCCAGCCAAAACCAGCACAAAGCTGAGCACACCTTGCTTGGCAGAGCAGCTTGTSCACTGCTTTTAGGTCAGGCTTAGGCACTCAGATTGCTCCCTGCCTCTTTGCTGCTGAAAACTGGCTGAAAACTCAGCAGYATCCCTGTCTGTGTTAGCTCCCTTAACCATCCGCATCTTGAGTGTGAAAGTGATTTTCCTTTGAACCTTTCCTCCATTTTCCTKTGTGCAGTTCTCAGATGTTTTCCTGTGCAGACCTTGAGCACACCAGAAAGCTCTTGAGCCTGTGGCTTTTCAGATAGGCACTAAGTGACGAGGAGATGCTTGAGTTGGAAACTGCGTTTGACTGGCAGCAAAATCCCATCTTTCATTACTTCTTGTGCTGCCTTTGCTTTAAGGAAAAAAAAGTAGTGAAAGCAGGACAGTTGAATTATTTCTTATATAAAAGGCATTAGACAGCAAGGCCCAGAAATCCCATTAGAGTCAAACRTATGGATCTGTTAATGATGTGTCCCTGCTAAAGACTCATGTCAATTAACCTCTGATGGAGCTGCCTGTGTGTGCTGCCAGGACCTTCCTTTTGCTCAGGTGCTGCATCTATTAAGCTCTTCCCTTGGTCATTTTGATCCAGCTAGAAGAATCAGATTTCTGATGCTATAAGAAATCTCTTTGTTTTTGTTGTTTGTGATCTCTGTCTTGCTGCTTTTCTGTCAGCTTTTCCTCTCTCTCTCAGGGCTGAGCACAGAGGTGGTAAAGGGATAGCAGTGGGACATGTGGCCTTCTGACAGCTGTTGTCCTTCTGTGAGCCTTTATCAGATAGCTGCACACTGCAGAACAAATTGATGTCCTGTGGGCCATGGGACAGGATTTTGTGGGTTTGCTCTGTCCTTGCTATCCAAGTTCCAGAGTTTGTGTCATTGATGTGCCTGAATCCTTGTGCTTGCCTGTCTTGTTACATGGTTGTAAAAGCTTTTCTGGTAAAATACTCCTCATGAGGAGGGAATGGTGAAATGGATTTTTATTTTTTTATTGTTTTCTTTGCTGCTGGGCTGTGGGGGCTGTGGGCTGAGCTGTGTAGTGCAGTTCCTTGTTCTGGCTCAGGCAGCCACAGCCCCTGCTAGAGCCGTTTGCTGGCCAAGGTCTGATTTRTCTTTGTTTCTCTTGGGGAAGAGCTGTAGTTACTGTGTAAGGAAATGAGTTCTCAGAAAAACACTGATGTGGGAAAAACCTTGAATGGCACTTTTTTTAATGATGTTTTGACATAAAAATACTGCAGTTTTAAACTAGCAGTCTGGAAGCTGGTAATTCATGGGTGATTGCTGTGGTCTTGCATGTGAGGAGAACTGGAAAGAGGCACAATGCCCCTGGTCCTGGCCACTCAGGTGCTGCAGTATCTGGGTAACGTGTGGGTCCTCACTTGGTTAATGAGGAGAGTTACAGAGCAAAGTGACAGGATGGCTCATGGATACCCAGGGCCCTTGAATTACCAAGTCCCCAGCATTTGCTGCGTTCTGCTTTGTCCAGGTATGAACTGGAGCCTTTGGAGGAGTTTATTTTCTGCAGATGACAGAACTAGTTTGAGTTCAGTCTTTATTTAAAGCCAGGAACATATTACTTCCACTTTCCGTGGCTGTCTTCTTTCCTTCTACCCGGCAGCTTTGCAAAATGCCAAATGTAGTCCAGAGCAGCCCTGGCTTTGCCCAGAGGACTCCCTGAGCCCCTGCTTTTGGCAGGGCATCATTCCCTTCGAAAACTGCTCTTGCACAGGTTCATCCTTCCCTCTGCCAGTGTCCTTCCTCTATCCAGGTGTGTTGTAACAGCATCAGGGGGAGGCAGAAGGGTGTGAGAGAGAGMTGGGTGGCTGAGCACAGTCTCTGTCCCAGTGCCTGACTGGGCAGCAGCTTTGCTAATCTTGGATGGGGCAGGTGAGGATGCACTGGCAGYGCTGACATCCAGCCCTGGGCCTGAGCCCTGCCACCCTGGGGGTGCTGGAGCTGGGATGTGTGGGACCATTGCTTTAGGGGCTTGGAGGGGTGACAGGTGGCCTGGAAGCCCTGCCAGGGCCATCTGGCTGCTGTTGGATGTGATTTTAGGGTGTTGTTAAGAGCGGTGGGCAGCATCCCYGTGAGTTCCTGCTCCCTGCTGCCGAGCTGGTTATTTGATAGCTCCTGGGTGCTCTTGAGAGGCCTAAAATGGAGCAGTGCYGGATTAGATGTACCCAGTGCCCTTGGTGAGCTCCGGGGAGATACGATCCTCGCCCTCCCGCCTCCGACCTGCTGGCGCCCAGTGCCGTCACCACAGCAACGGGGAGAAACAGCCCATCCGCATGGAAACGGCCTTGCTGTGCCCGGCAACCGAGCCGGGGAATGAGGTTCAAATGGCGACTKGGAGAGGTGAGGGGCACCAGCACCTCTGTGGTGACCAGCAGAGAGCCTTGGCCCGAGCTGCTGGGCTGAACACACATCCTGTGGGTTACTGCAGCACTGGCACTGTCCCTGCATGTGGGACTCCCATCCCAAAACACCAGCACTGCCCCCAGTGCAGAGCCAGCACGTTCTCCCCTGTCTCTGACCGTGGTGGATAGTTTTCATTGCTGCTGCTGCCCTATTTTTTTGGGGCTGGTCCTGAAGTCACAGTAAGGTGCAGATTATCTGTGCTGATAACTGCAGCAGCGTAGGTAGGTCACTGGTTCAGCCCTGACCAGTTTGTACTTAATGCTTGTAAAATCCCTCTTTGTARGGAAGAAGGAGCAACTAGCAGCCAAACAGGGTCTCCTGTAACATAGGACAGACAAATGCCATCTCAACGGTGTGATTGTGTCTGGCTTTGGGCAGCTAAARTCTGAGTTAATCTCTCCTCATCCTGCCTCCTACCCCTCAAATCCCCCCTCGGCTGATTTCCCAGAGAGGGCTCTGATTTGAAGGTGATGTCGGTGCTGACCTGCTGGCTCTGAYAAGGGCTGGAGAGAGCTGCTCTGCCAATCAGCTGCTTGTGGCCAAGCAGGATTTGTTCCAGTTTTACACTGGTCCTTTGGTGACTGGRTCTCTTGGCTGCAGGATCACTGGGAAGGGGATCTCCCCAGCCAGCAGCACTCCTTCTCTTGGGGAGATTTTGGTTAACGGGGATGGTTTTACAACCATGTGCAAGGACAGACTGTCCCAGAGCCTCTCCCGGTGCTGGAGAAAGCTGCTTCCCAGCTACTGGCATTACTAAGAACACCTCAGGGCTGGCCAGTCTAAAGTAATTTGCATTTCTTGATCATCTGGACCCTGGCAGCTCAAGAAATTGGTATTTCTGTGGATCTGTCAGGAGCAAAATGAAAGGCAGTGCCCCGGTCTTGCCAAGGGGCTGTGTGAGAACCTGGCTGGCAATTAGGAGAGCAGGTTGTTCGCCTGCAGGCTGGTACATGAAGAGATGAGTCCTATTTCTCCTCAGCTTGGGACCTGCAGGAGGGGCAGAGGATGGGAGAATGGGGGGTGAAATATATGTCATTCTCCTGCCTGGGGCCCCAGGTTTTATTTGTTACCTGGAGCCCTGTGTGGGTGGGAAGCCTGGCCTGCTGCTGTGCAGAGGAGCCTCTTGTACCCAATCCTCTCTCCCTTCTGCTCACATTTTTTTTTCAGAAAAAACAAGTGGTGAAGCTGCTGCTGGAAGCAGCTYTGCCAAGCAATGGCTGTTAGGGCTCTGGAGCTGCTGAGAGGTTTGAGTCCAGGTGCACAGCCCCRACTCTCAGCAGATGTGGGCATAGGAGGAGAGTTATGGACTCTGGAGAAATGAGAGGACCCTGCCGAGTGGCACTAGTGCAGGGGAAGCTTGGAGAGCTCAGCAGAGGAGTTKTGAGTGGTTTCAAAAAAGGGAATAGCATCCCCTCTGCATCTCCCCAAGAGGACCCTGCAGCCCCCGCTTCACCATCAATGTGGGGACTTGGATGCTCTTAGGCTGTTCATTAGCAAAACCTCTGAGCAGTTCCTGCCATCGAGTACCCATTAGTGCCTCTTCAGGGGAGAGAGCATTGGGAAAGCACAAAAACAATCCGAGGGTCCTTTATCTCTTTTTGGTCTGAGAGGCCATGGGCTGAGTTTGGAGGGGAAGAGGGGCTGGACAGGGACACCACGCATGAAAGCTGCACCGTGATTATCTGCTGAAATCTCAGTGCAAAAACATAACCTGATTTGAACTGTTACTTCTCCAAGGCTCCCGGGAGRGCTTTAGGGTTATAAACACCTACTCAGTGACCTGCTTTGTGCACATCTCGAGCCAGGTATTCCCACACCAGAGGGAAAGCCAGCAAAAACCTGCACAGATGTCTTTAACAGCTGCAGCGGGCCTGCCGTAAGCCACCCCTGCTGCTACGGTTTATTAACACTGCAGGGTCTGTCCCCTTCTCCCCCTTCTTCTTGCCCGCTTGAGTGYACAGTCAGCTGTTAAAGGACACTGACATCACTTAATGGTTTAATTGAATCTCACAAAGGGATTGAAATTGGCTGCCTGACTCTTGTCACTGAGATGCTCATGGAAGAAATAGTAAATCACCAATTCAGCAGATAAAACCGCAGCTCTGGGTAGAAAGTCCTGATTGCTGGGGGTAGGGATGTAATTCCTCTTTGCTGAAGAATACACTATTAGGGTGATGGCTGAGGGTTATTTTTCCAGGCCACCAGGTGCCATCCTTGTCCAAGGGAAGGGTAACTGAGTTAGACTAACTCCCCAAGGTGGTACGGCACGCAGTAAGGGGTAAACAGACCTGAGGCAGCATTTTATCTGTAAGTCGGGAGACTGTTCTGTGTTTTACACAGGGATTTACAGGGATACAAAGGAGAGAGGTCCATGTGATCGTTTATTTAGAACGGAAGGCAAAATCCCAGAAAAGGCCAGGATGAAGCTTTGCAGCCAGCAGCAATTTCTGAGATTGTTTCACAGAAAAAGTCATCTTTGAGTGTAGGGAATCAAAAGTTAGAAGGGAGAGAAAAATGCCCAAAAGCAATAGAGAAGCCCAAAGGGAGGGGATATGACCCTAATGAGAGTGCTAATGCTGTGGCCATGCTACTGACAATAAAGTAATTGCTGCTCAGGAGGAATTMGAGCCAGTAGAAAACAGCTTTCCACCCAGACGCCAAGAAAAGCAATTAGAACTCGTAAACACCAGTGGCTGACTAAAACCAGGTCCTTAATTAATAGTTTCATTTGAAGGGTAAGGAAATCGTTAAGCACTATTGGTGTCTATTAATTGCCTGCAACATGAACCACAACAGAGAGTTTTATATTAAGCCTTCTTTCACTGTACAGCATGTGCAGGAAGGAGCACCCGAGCCCTTGCTTTGTGCAGCTGTGCTCCCTCACCCCACTGACTGCCCCAAAGCCCCGGGATGTGCTGTAGGATCAACAGTTCAGAATGTGCATTAACAGTCAGGGCAGGAGAGAAGGTGGATGGAAAAAAAGATTTCAATAAAAAGCTGGACAACTGAAGCACTGTGTTGGGGAGTGCAGAATACAGGGAGCTAGGGGTCTGGAAGATTTGCATGATACTGTACAGACTCCAGCCACTGACAAGTGTCAGCCTCTTCTGTCCCGGGCAGAGAGTGTATAGGAATGTCAGTCAGAGGAAGAAGTAGGGGTAGCCATCAGAAGTAGGCAGGGCAGAGAGAGAYATAAAACTTCCCACTGTATAAGCAGTGGTGATGCAGTGGCAGACTTCCTAAAACATTCACAAACACCCAGAAACCAAGAGTGTTAAGGAGTGGCCTTTACAGAGGGTAGTCTTGACTCTAAGTCTGGGTAAGACAAAGACTTMACTCTTGTTTTCTGACTCTCAATTCAACCACATACTCTTCCCTGAATTTCTGAAGAACCACAGGTCTCTTCACAATCATATTTTTCAGTTTGTTCTATCTTCATGTGACGTGGGCACTTGTGCATTGATGCAATGAACAGGCTGTAGCAGAGAACAGCAGTGTTTGGTTTGTGTGTGTTAGACAAACCCGCCGGCACAGCCTGGTGCCCCTCCTTTCTCAGGCTGGCAGACACCAGCCCAGCCTTGCTGTAGGCACATCACACACCCCCTCTCCAGCAGCTGCCTGCACACTCAGAGTGCATCCTGCCAGTGTATGGCTGACCTGCTCTCTTCTCCTTAAAAAGTAGAATACAAAGTCACTAGTGCAGCTGTTTTTCTGGAGTGAGAGGGAAGCTCTTCTAGCGTGTTAAACACTTAWGGAAGAGCCTCTCTTCCTCGCTGTCAAATCTGTGACAGCTCAAGGAACTTCCTTTAAGATCACCTACCCTCCCTTCAAATTCAGAGAGTTGGACTAAGGTAGGGGATTTGTCTGAATCTTGTTTTCTTCTCTTCTGTCAAATGCAACTCAACAGGCTTTTCTAAGCAGTGATTTCTTTCAAAACCTGCCGTATGAGATTCAGCCCCATGAAGGAGGTTCAGTGCCTTGTTGCTATGGTACCCTTTCTCTAAAAAGGAAGAAAATAGTTAATTATGCAATTTAAGAAACTACAGAGGAATGATAGAAAGAGAAGTAATAGAAATGAAGATTCTGGGTTTGCAACAGAACTGCTGGCTGCTCTAAAATACACCCTGTTTACAGGTGAAATACTTTCCCAGTGCATGTTGTATAGGGCCAGTGCTTCTCTGGCAGCAGGGATTTCAAGGAGAAGCCCTTTGCTAGGTACTGTGCCTCGGCCATCCAGGAAATCAATCCTGTAGTCAGTTACTGCTGTTACCTTCCCTGCTTAATGCTCCAGACAGAAATTTCCTTGGCAGAAATTCTGGATGGAGCTGGGACAGCGATAATACATCACAGACCCGCAACAAGCTCCTGCTGCTTGTGGATACAGAGGTACAATTCAAGACTTAAGCATTTTATATCTCCCTGGCAGCATTTCATTGTTCCTTGGGCCTACTAACCCCTGCTTGCTTTCCCCAGGACCCTGGAAAATCCAGTTTGTGGTGCACAAGGCAGGGCCAAAGAGATTGCAAGCATCAAACCTGGCAAGATCCCAGCAGCCCCTTCAAAAAGAACAGTGCTTTCCTTTGCCAAGAGCAGTGGCAGGTCAGTACAGCTTGGGTGAAACAAAGCACTGCAACAGATGCCAGGAATGGATCCAGGCCATGCTCTGTGCACAGAGAGCGCTGCCTCCTGCACAGCACAGAGCTCTGCAGGCCAGGGGGAAGGAAAGAGTTACCCCATGCCTTGTTTCCCAGCGTGGGCAGTGACAGAAAAAGGGAACGAAGATGACCTGACCCCGTGGAGTTGTTTACTACAGATGACTACAAGGACATTGAAACTTCAGGCTCTCTTTAATTCCTAAGAAGGGCACTAATGGCATAGAGGGCTAGACAAGAGCCACATATGGTGGTAAGAGGAAGAGAGCAGTCAAGAGGCAATAATCCAAAATACTTCTGGGAACACAGCAGGGACGGCTGTCAGAAGACCAACATTTTAATCAACAAACTCCGWAGACAAGAGGCTTCCCACTAAGGGAATACATGGATTCCTGTTTGCAGCACCAGCTTCTACCTCCTGCATTTTTAAGGCTCAGGACAGTCTCACCAAGCTTCCCTCAACAYGTAATTTCCAGGGAGGGTGGCTTTCCAGGTGGCCTTCTGTCACAGGAACAACATTCATCTTAGTCCCTGATGAACTGATATTGGAAACTGTGTGTCCCTCACATTCTCCTGGCTTTCCGTGGGCGGCAGCCGTTGTGGGGGACTGGGCTGTTGTCAGTGATGGAGATGACCTCCAAACCTCCCATCGTCAACCCCTTGATGGCAGCCTGCAACAGACAGCAGATGACAGTTATGAACACATGGAACAGCAGAGAAGGGAAAAAGATCAGGGCAAAATAGTTTGGTTCCCCATCTGAAAGTCTAATGATTCTAAAAATTCATTACTGGGCACTTGGGTGAGGAATCCTTTATATAACTTTCAGAAAAAACAAGTTAATTGAGCCCAGCCTGAGCTCAGAAAACATGCACGATGCCTGAGAAAATAAAAGTTTGGAAAAGAAACTCCAACACCTACCTTCCGTCCTGGTCCCAGTCCTTTCACCATGACTCKTACGTGCAATACACCCTTCCCACGTGCTTTCTGTGAAAATAACAACTGGTTAGCATTCTCTTTGACATAAACCCTGGCTCCCCTGGTGTCTTTTGTTCCCTTTTGACCCATACTCATCACAGTATTTAAATAAAAATAGAGACGATGTAGTAATGGATATACAGAAGACATATATGGGAATTACTGCAGAGACACTAGGAGCAAAGGAGGCCGGGATATGGCCATGGCAGTTCAAGAGAACTTTAGTGCTAGACTGTCAGCTCTGCACGCAGAGAAAGCTCCAAGATCAAACTATCTGTGACCTAAAGCCAGGGCAGAAAAGAACATATCCATGGATACATGACTGAAATGGCAAGGGATAACAAGGACTAAGTCTAAGCTGTTTTCCCTTCTCTAATGTGGCAACTTCTCCCCTGTGAGCAGTGGATTCCTTCTGGAGGGTAAATGAGAAGAGCAGGCAAGCTTTAGATTTGCTGTGCAGGAGTCCACACCTCCAGTGCAAAAATTCTAGGAAGAACTGCAAATTGGAAAGGAAGAACTGCTGTACAGCACAGCCCTGCTGCCACCACGTGGAGGGAGCTCCTCTGGCTCTTTCTCATTGTGTTCTTGTGCAATTAACGTACTAACAACTTCAACAGTGACAGAGTAAGTCTGTCCAAGCACAGCTATGCAGTTATTATGAGGTCCCAACGAGCAGAGATTAATAGTGAAGATGTTCTTCTATCCCTCTGAGTCAACACAATAAGCTGTTGGCCAGCATTGCCACCAAACTCCTCTGGCATGAAAGGCTGCRGTGAGTTCCACCTAATTTAGCATAAGGATTTTCAGTTTAACCTTGCCTCATTCTGCTGTAATGAGGACACTGACACAGCCAGCCTCATCTCCTCCACTGGGACACCCACATGGTTGTTAGAAACAGTTACAATAAACCATAGGTAGCTGGAAACTACAGGTGCAAGAACATCACCTTTGCTGACTGGAACTGCTGACTGGGGCTCAGGTCTCCTGTGGCAGAGAGCAAATATTAAACAAACTGACAGAAACTACAGGTAGTTCTCAATCCCCAATGGTGCAAGACTTGAACTGCTGCTGATTCAGGGGCTACATGCCCAAAATGGCTGAGAAATGTTCACTGAGGAAAAAAGGAAGCCATGCAGACTGGTGCTAGGAAAGAACAGGCTCCAAGTTACATTTCCAATCCCAAYGTGCACAGCTCAGCTCATCCTCGGGGCATTTCTAAAAGCTATTTCAAACACACTTTGTGTGCAAACAAAGTTCTGGATTGGTATGGGGGCAGGCAGTCAGTGTTCCCCTCTGGGGGTGGAAATCACAGGGGTGGACTCACCACTGCTGCTGCTATGGCTGCGGTCTGGGCTGCGATGGCAGTTCCCTTCTTGGCGTTCTGGAAGCCTTCTGTGCCGCAGGACGTGCGGGAAAACGGCTGGTTGTCAAAGCTGACCACCTGGATGTGGGTGCTGCCAAAGGACAGGGGCAAAGGGAAGAAGCAAGCTGGAAAATAATTTTATTCTCCAGTTTCCTGGGTCATCTTACTGGCAGGACTTCTGTCTCCCTTTCAAAGTATCCGCTGACTCAAGATCACCCAGCAGTGACCTTCTGACCTTTCTAGATAAAGGGTGCTTAATCCAAGTACWCCTCAGACCCCACTCAACCCTTTCAGACCCACCTCCCACTGCATTTYACCTCTTCTATTTAAAAGAAAAAGATGCACAAAACACTTCTAGAACTTGAAAGAGCCTTGAAAAACAATAAGGTATCACAGCAGGTATCATGGATGAAACACAGCTATCGCTCATGAAGAATATGATAATTTTTTCAACACCTGTACAGAAACAGCGCTAGAGCAGGAAGTTGAAAGTAACGTGCTGCTAAAACCGTCAGCATCTGATTATTCATATAAAAATGTAATCAAAATRTATAAAAACAATCTTATTGCTTTAAAGACACTCCAAGGACAGCTATGCTSCCTGAACAGCACTGAGCTTTGAATCAGTGTCATCTTCCCAGTCATGAACACCACTACCCTGGCTGTTTTTCTTTGAGCCTTTAGATCAAAATGATGACAGGCCAAAGCCCGGGYTCTAAGCTTTTATTTCACATGAGAGCAGGAATGCAGCAGCTCATTTGCTTACTTGTTGTACGTTGCTTTGATGTGAGCTATCGGGACCTCTTCATAAACCTTCCCATCCCATCGCATGGAGTTTCTCTGCAGGATTAAAGAGCTGAGGAGCAAAACAAGAGTTACCAAGCCTCGCTCTTCAAATATTGCAAAGCTTTATTTCATATCGGAAAATAAAGAAAGAAGGGATCAAGCCTCCGAAAAACACAAGCTGCGTTTCTGATTGAGTCAAGTCGCTCCCTCGGCTGAAAACCCACCGAAGGCGATAAAACCTCGCAGCACGCGGCAGATGGCAGCGCCCTCCCGGCGCGGCCTGGCCTCGGCTCTCACCTCTGCTCGGTCGCGCTCTGCTTCTCCGTCTCCTTGGCAGCCGCCCCCGCCGTGTCCTGCAGCCTCGGGGGGCCGGTGCGGAGCCCGCGGCACAGCGCGGCGGCGCGGGCCCTGAGGAGAGAACCGCCGGTGAGCACTGAGGGGGGCGGCGGGGCGGTGTGGGGTGGGGAGACTGGGTTTTAGCGATAGCGGGAAGCTCCCAGCGGTCCCCACACAGCGAACAGGACCCTCTCCCGTGTTCCCCGCTGCCCACAGCCCGTGCTGCCCGCTCCGCCCTGCTCCGCTCACCCCCAGCCCAGCACCCGCTGCATGCGGGCCCTGAGGGAGAGAACCGCCCTGAGGTGAGCGCTGGGGGGGGGCGGTGGGGTGGGAAGATTGGGTCTTAGCGGGAAGCTCCCAGCGGTCCCCACACAGCGAGCAGGACCCTCTCCCGTGTCTCCCGCTGCCCACAGCCCGTGCTGCCCTCTCCGCTACGCTCCGCTCACCCCCAGCCCAGCACCCGCTGCATGCGGGCCTGAGGGAGAGAACCGCCCTGAGGTGAGCGCTGAGGGGGGCGGCGGTGTGGGGTGGGGAGACTGGGTTTTAGTGATAGCGGGAAGCTCCCAGCGGTCCCCACACAGCGAACGGGACCCTCCCCGGTGTCCCCCGGTGTCCCCCGCTGCCCACAGCCCGTGCCCCGCTCCGCTCACCCCCAGCCCAGCAGCCGCTGCATGCGGGCCTGAGGGAGAGAACCGCCCTGAGGTGAGCGCTGAGGGGAGCGGCGGTGTGGAAGATTGGGTCTTAGCGGGAAGCTCCCAGCGGCCCCCACACAGCGAGCGGGACCCTCCCCGGTGTCCCCCGCTGCCCACAGCCCGTGCCGCCCGCTCCGCTATGCTCCGCTCACCCCCAGCCCAGCACCCGCTGCATGCGGGCCTAAGGGAGAGAACCGCCGGTGAGCGCTGAGGGGGGCGGTGGGGTGGGGAGACTGGGTTTTAGTGATAGTGGGAAGCTCCCAGCGGTCCCCACAGAGCGAGCAGGACCCTCCCCGGTGTCCCCCGCTGCCCACAGCCCGTGCCCCGCTCCGCTCACCCCCAGCCCAGCAGGCGCTGGCCGGCCATGGCCGCGCTGATGGCGGTGGCTCGGAGCCGCGCCGGGAGCGGCCGCCGCGGAGCACGACGGGAGCGAGGCGGGAAGATGGCGGGGCATTGTGGGGCCATGGCGGCGCCCCTCAGGCAGCGGGCGGCGGGCCGCGTTCGGTGGGTTTGCAGCGCTGCCGCGCCGCGCCCSTGGAGGCTTTTTGGGGCGATGTGCTTGCTGAGGCTTCCCCGAATCACGCAGCCGCTGGAGAAGGAGGAGGAGGAGATGGCGGCGCTCATGCAGCAGGTAGAGGGGGATGCGTGTGTGGCTGTGTGGGGGTGGTGATGGGGAAAGGAACATCAGGGGCTGGTGGCCTTGCACACACTGTCTGTGGGGCTGATCCTCGAGTGCTCTGTGTGCCATTTGTACCACATCTCSTGGGTGTTGCTGGTGTACCCGTGATCTTTCTCCATGGTGTTGGTGTCCCTGCCACACGCTCCTGCTGCAAGCACGGAAGGCCTGCTCAGTCTCGGGAAAATACACATTACCTTGCATTTGCAGAGGCGGAAATAATTTCATTCTATTTCTTAACATCCATCGTACTGGTGCCTTAAGAATTCTTTATGTTGTTTTTCCAGATAGAGCTGGAGAAAAGCCATTATTCAGATCATGAAATCCGTAAGCTGGAGGAGGAGGAGCAGCTCAAGAGGAGGAAGGAAAGCTCGTATGATGAGGATGAAGCATCTGGCAAGACAGTCATCATGGCTCAAGACCTGGAGGAGAAGTGGGAACAGAARTTTCTGCGGTTCAAAGCTGCTCCACGGATAACAGGTACAGCCTGGAGCTCGTGGTGGGTGAGAACACCCAGGTTGTTTGCCAAACAGAGTGCAATTCAGTAGAAGGAACAATTTTTGAGTCTATTTTTTGTTTGTTTTGAAGAGAGTCGTGACTCTGTAGCAGCACATGAACAATTAACTGTCTGACAGGGAAATCAGTGTTCACATGCTGCAAGAGCAAAATGGTAAAATAGATGTTGTTTCCAGACAAGAGAAATGTTTGGTCACTTGATTCCCAAGCTCTTCTTAGTGCTCTTGTTGATTTTTGTCARGGTAGAAATCCAGGCTGCTTACTATAGATTCCTTCTGGAAAGGAAAACAGCAGCTGAATCCTGTAGTAACTTCCAGAGTGGCTGAGAGTGTTCATGACTAGATTTTTTTCTTATTCCATGTATCCACATTTGTGTATTGTTGCTGGTGTGAGGCACAGAGGGTTGATGAGTCAAGGGGATCAGAGCAATCTGCCCAGAGACTTTGTTTCCAGCATGTGTTGGTTTTTGGCAGATGCTGATAAAAGCAATGATCGAAGATCMCTGAACAGGAAGCTGGACAGTAACCTGATGCTTCTGGTGAAACAGAAAATCGGGAACCAGGAGCTGTGGCTCCTGCCTCAAGCAGAGTGGAAGCCTGGGGAGACACTGCGAAACACAGCTGAGCGAGCCATGGCTACATTTTTGGGTGTGTAGCTCGACCTCTYTCTTGTTTGTCCCACTGGTTTCCTTCCAGTGCCCTGTCTGAGGGATATTTGCCATCTGCTGTAGTGAAATCTTCTCCTGTCTGCTGGGAAAAGGCATTTCATGGGAGAGGGCTGGCACCAGCAGCAGCAGCAGCAGCAGTGCCATGTCTGGCCATCGTGGTCTGATGTTGGGGCATCACCAGACACCCCCTGAATGCCTGGGCTTGCTCTGGGCTTCTCTTTCCCTCCTGCTGCCCTGCAGTAGCTTTTGTGGCAGATGGGTGATGATGGTAAACACATGGTCTTGCTTTTCACTCGAGATTGGCAAAGCTTGAYACCCTCTYCTTCCCTTCCTCCCTCTCCCACTCTGAGAGGATTCTCTGGTCTCCAAATGAGCTGTTTTTCATGAGAAAAAAACAGTTTTTTTTACAGTTGTCAGTATTTCTGCCAAAGAAGGAACAGTCAGTCTGAACCAGATACAAGGAATGGCTTATGCTGCCTTTTTCTTATACAGGGGATTAGTTATTGTTGCTCTGTGTTCTTATATCTTACTGTCTTTCATTGCTGGCATCTTGCAGGAGATCACATTCAAGCCAAAACCCTGGGGAATGCACCACATGGGATTTACAAATACAAATTCCCCAAGGCCATCAGAACTGAGGATAACGTGGGAGCCAAAGTCTTCTTCTTCAAAGCCTTCCTCCAAAGCAGTGATTTGTCCCAGGCAAAGCTGAAGGCAGATTACCTGTGGGTGACAAAGAAGGAGCTGGGAGATTACCTGAATTCAGAATACCTGAAGAAAGTCAATCGATTCCTCTTGGACTTGTAAGCAATGGGCTGTCCTCCAGCAGATGGGGAAGATGTGGGACATGGCTCCAGGGAGGAGCATGGCTGCTGCTTTGCATGGTCTGTGTGTGTGACATGTTCACTTGGGCTCTGGAGGATAATTTGCCTTTGCCTTATTTCCCAGTTCTCTTCACTGGCCCTGTACTGAATAAATATTAAAATTTTTACTCRGAAGTGAAGCTTTCCTGAGGGAGTTCTTTGCTCTTGTTGAATTCTCCTCCYCCACCTCTTCTGGAAATGCATATTGTTATCTTTACCTCTCCCAAGAGTGTGGTTCCCTGGGGTTGTACCCGAGAGGTTCACTTTCCTCTCCAGGCTCCTGTCACAGGCTCAGCCTCAAAGGGTTTCTGCTTGCAAWGGCTAATGCTTATCTCTGGTACCTGCTCTGTGATTAGAGCAGCACTGGAGAGTTATCTGTGTGTCCAGGTGGGAACTGACCCTCCTGAACACCAGCCAGGACAAGGTGGGTTTCTAAGCAGGGATATTCACAGCTTATTAACTTTAGTGTTAGCTGCCTCTGGCCTTGAGTCTGTGATGCACATTGGCTGTGGAGGACACGGATCCACGAGGAAGTGGCAGTTGCTTTCCCACCCACACTGCTTCTCCTTGAGCCTCAGATTACAGCAGCAGACAATGAAGGRGGATAACAGCAGCAGCAGCAGCTCTCTGGTCAGGGAGGCTCATTTTCCCTGGGATGGAAGGTGTTTTAGCTTTGCTGCCTCATGGGAGCAGCCTCAAAAGTGTCTCTAGGGAGTTCTTGGCTCCCATTCTCACTGCATTAGGCCAGCTRGGTCTGCCTCAGGTAGCCTGACCCCATTACCCCAATTTCTTTATTAGAATCTCTATCCTGGGCTTATGTGGTGCTGCCTTGGCCCTCTGAGGCTGCTTCTGTTGGAGGTTTTTTCCTGGTTGTAAATGTTGCTGCTCAGTAGTCAAGAGTGCTKCTGGACCTCGCAGGGAATCAGCTTCCTCCAGCAGCAAGGAGAGAGGGAGGAAATAACTGTCGTTAATCATCCACGGAGAGTTCAGCCTCCAGAGGTGGAACTGGAGATTGCTATATGTATTTTATCAATCCTTTGGGAGCTGTTGAGCTGCAGGCCTCAAATTAAAGTTATCCTTAATCACTCTGCAAGCCATTGGGCTGGGGGTAGCACAGCAACATTCTATTTTCTAATGCTGGTCAGTTTGAGAGCTGCAGGTTTGCCCTAAATTACCAACAAAATTCAGTTCTTGGAGGCATCCCCACAGGCCTGGTGAGGAGGCTGAGTCTGCAGCAGAGAGCAGTGCAAAGATGGAATAAATGTGGAGCAGAATATRTGCCTGAAAGGCTGCAGATTTTTGGCTGGTGTCTGAGGTGCTGAAAGGAGGCCTGTTGGCTTCTCCAGGATTGTGCTCAAACCTTCTTACAGGTAGCAGGTATGTGAGAAACTTGGTCTTTTCTGGAAGCTGAAATTGTTTTCTCATCTGAAACACCAATTCCTRCTCACAGCTGGCACGGGAGCAACTTYTWAAAAAAATTTCCCTGTAGTTGAATWATTTAAAGYCCCTCAGCCAGTTGCTGCAAACAATCACAGATCCTGCAGTTTGGGTGCTTTTGCTCAGTTCTCCTGTGTGGTCTRTTTTCTTCCCCAGCCTTGGTGAGAGGGAAGGCAGGAGGATCCTAGAGGATGGTTTGATTTCTCATTTCCTCAGCTCCCGGAGTCCTGCAGTAGGTCACTGAGGCTGTTCTTTTCCTTTGGGCACTTGGTGGCTCTCTTTTCACTCCGTGTGAACCTATTCCCATACTCACAGCTGCAGAATCTGAGCAGCRGGCTGGTGGGATATATTTGAAAGGRCAGCACAAGCCTGAGAGCCTTTTGTGACAGAAGAAACSTGTGGAATGCTGGCTGCGTGAGAGCTGCTGCAGCCAGGTGTGCCAGCACAGAGAGTAGGGGGAGCATTTTACTTTTGTTGAACATGAAACACAAAACTCCCCCTGAAAGTGTGATGGAGAACTGCCAGAGTGTTTGCCTGGTGTTGAGGGAGGCTGGAACTTGTTTGCACCCAAACCCTGGAGAATTTTTCTCACCTTGACAAAGGCCTCTTAAACGAGATCTCTGCCAGAACCTGAAGCTGCAGCAAGTGCCTGGGAAAGAAAGTGAATTTGCTGTGGCTCTTCAGTGCAAGGCACTGTGAGATCAGCTGAAGAGCTCTCCTGTGAAGAGTGCACTGGAGAAAGGAGTTTTGGAAAGGGCCTGTGACTCCTCGCTTTGAGTSCAGCAATGTGGGGCTTATCTACGGAGTCCAAGGTAAGATCAGTGCTGCTCTTACCCACTCTGGAGAGGAAGCTGGAGAGGGTCAGGCTGTGGAAATTTTCTGCTCCTCAAAACCATTTTTGGCCCAGGATGTTTCCATTCTTGAGAGTCATACACAAAAATCCTCATCCTTTCCCTTGCCAAGGGGGAAGGAAGCATCTTCCTGACCCTGGTGTGATGCAGTCTAGCAGCTGTTACTAAAAGTCCAGGAGCAGAAAAAGATGGAAGGAGCAGTTGCATTTTAAAGCACTGGCATCTAAGCCATTGCTTAAGCCACCATGTTAGAAGAGAGAAATGAARGTTTTCTTCATGGCAAATTAATGCTAACACTCCCCTTCAATGGAGAAATGGTAACAAGTCCTAATGAAAACACTTTTGAGCTTCACTGATACAATTTTCCTCTACTAGCTGATATCCCTCCCTGACTTGAGGGAGTTTTGGGGTTGGTGCTCTCTAAGCAGAGCCCTGCTCGAATGTTTTGTGATACAGTGTGAACAGTTCAGAACCTCACACTTTCTCACATAATGGGAAGCTGCTGTTTGTTCCTTTTCCTGGCTGGCTCAATCAAAGGCTTGAAAATTGGGAAGAGAAATACATGCAGAGCCAGGGGAGGCCATTGGAGCCACACCTCTTCCTGCTCTCTGAAAACCTGTAGGAGGAGARATGCTCTTCTTCCAAATGCAACCATGAGCTTGTTAGAGCAGGGAGAGCTGCTGGAGTGCAAGGGTGGGCTGGCTCAGGGAGGATGGGAATTTTGCTGTCCCAGCTGCTGCAGCCTTTGGGCTCACTCCCTGTCCTGGAGGATGAAGCATGGGGCCATCAGGACATGAGGCATGGGCCAGCACTGCTGCTGCCTGCATGCTTTCTGATGTCTCTCATCTATCAAAGTAATTATGCCCATTACATTTCTCCTTTCAGGTTTTACCCTCCCAAATGTTATTCCACAGCATTAAACCTGTGGGGCGAGTGAATTATTGGGGAAAAAAAAACCTAGATCTAATCCAAGTTTAATGGGCACATAGAAAAAAGCTCACTGGGTTTGCAGGGTGGCTCAGCCAGCATCCTGCTTCTGCAGGCAAATAGAAATTTATCTTGATGTGTGTATATATCTGGTTTYGTGATCTGTGAGCTCTTAATAATTGGTTTGGTGACCTGCTGGCCGTGTTCTCTCTCTGTAGAGCTTTACCCAGTCCCCAGTTAATATAATGGGTCACAAATCCCATTTGCTTTTGAATTCTGAGTAATCCTTTTGTTAATGTCGCCTATTGCTTTTCTGGAAGCATTGGAGGAAACCGGAGCCATGTGCTAATCAGTAAATGTGGTTCTGCGTGTTGGGAAGCTGCTGCCCTGCCCCTCCTGCCCTTTCCAAATGTCCTGTGCAGCTYATTTGTGCCAGGCCTAAAGCCCCTCTCTGCAGAACAGCGATTGCTTCCCAAGTGCTGCTGCCAAACTGCACAGGCTGCAAATGTTGGATGAGCCTGAGGAAGGCAGCAGGATCTGATAGGGAGGGGGCAGCCAAGCCATGAGGAGTTTGGAGAGGAGGGAAATTGGGCATTTGGGGTAATCCCCCCCTTGGGGACCCACTTTTCAGCCTCTGCTCCACCAGCACTCCCAGCTCAGCACCCAGTCTTGTCCCTCCTTAGGGAATGTGGTGCAGCAGACGGTGCCAGAGGCTCCTGGGCTAGTAGGGTCAGGAGGCAGCGAGCAAGATGGACAGTACCAGTGCCAGATATTTCTGGATTTCATATCCCTTCATGTTCTCTGCCTAACTGAAAACAGGACTGTGGTGAGCTGTGCCTGTCTTGCCTGCTCTCTCCTGCCTGTGTGGGTGGGCAGTTATCTGAGCCCTTTCAGAGGAACAAGAAACTGCCAGACACCCTCTAAGGTGAACACACCCTACTGAAGGGAGGGGAGGGAGAGCATCAGCCTGAAAACGTGTAAAAAACTCAAAATCACCAGCTACAAGGGCTTGGTAGGGACTGTGTTCCTGCTGCAGTGCTTGCCTGTAGATTAATTAAACWGGGTGGGAAACTTCAGTGGTGTGTCCAAATGCCAGAACATTCCAAGTCAGTGTTTCTTGATTACTTTTGTTTGTTTCCTGATCTCCTCTAAGTTTTCAGTCTCCTGCACAGCTGATAATCCTCACCCTTCTCCCCTTTCCCTCATGCTTCCATTCGTCTCCCTATTTTTAGCCTGTCTGTGGCACTCTTCACACAAAACCTGTGTGCACGGCTTTGATCGGAGCTGCTGACGATGATGACATGACCTTGAAGGCAGCAGCTTGGAGTCAAGCTGTGTTGYATTTAGTTAGCTCCTTGTAGCTGGSCATCGTGGCACAACCCAGGCAGGCACACAGCATCGCCTCTCCTCACTGCCATGCGGTTTTCCCTGATAGGTCCCACCAGGATTTGGGTGATTTCACCCCAAACCCATTCCCTGGCTCTGACCCAGAGTGAGGACAGTGGTGGAGATTTATCAATACTGGGAGCTTGGTGCTCAGATGTGGCTGGCTCTGATCTAAGAGCTAAATTCCCCCGAGGATGGAGGTGGATGCTGCTTGCTGCCCGTGAAACAGCTSCATGCTAGGCACTAGATGGCAGGCAGTGACTGGGAAATCCTGTCAGTGGAGCTTTATTTCCCTTTCCCCTTAAAATAACCTCCTGCTCGAGCTCTCGCATGCTCCAGCGTGGGAACCTGRAGCACGGAATAAGGATCAACAATTTTTAACTGCTGTGCTCAAGCCTGTACCTTGTATGTTGAGGGATCCCAGTGATTGGCAGATGGCTGTCWTTGCTCCACTGAGGCTTGACAAATAATGGGAGAGTCCAAGGAGCTTCTAKAGCAGGGAAAAGAGGCAGGGAGCAGGCAGGCAGCA